GTCTGATTTAGTAAAGTTTTGATTGATGAAAGCGAAAGAACAGAAGGCAAACACTGATATTAAGAATTCTACTTGAACAATCAGGGCGCAAGGTTCAAATGACGGATTGTGTATACCACTAAGGAGGGAGGGGTGGGGATGAGTTTGTGTCTCTCCATCTTGAGAACCTCATAGACGTTAGTCATGAAAAAGTGAATAACAAAAATGAATAGTGAATAACGTTAGGTGGGAATTGTTGCTAAGGCACAAAAGGTTTTACAGTTTCAAGTGTGGCGTTGAAAAACGACCACCGGGTTACGAACAAAACGCAAAAATTTTCTTTTCTAAAGATTTTTTTCCCTTACGATTGTCTCTAACGTGGAAATACAAAAGAAATGCCACAATTTCCATCGAGAAAAAGTGTGATTATTTTTTTCCCCGTGTTAGTCTCGATCCATGATATTTTTAACAAGGGACTATTTTCTTTACATTAGGATTGTTTGACGAAAATTCTGCTTATTGCAGGTGAAGAAAAATCCGGCTCTAAATACAAAATTAATTGATATTCCTAATATATAATTAATATATATTAATGGGTAATTGGACACGGAAGTACGTCACAACTTTAACACCTTCGTGCATAATTTCGTTTACGACAACCCTCCCTTGCTACTGTGATCAGCCCCAAAAGTATCAACATGGAAATCGTTTGAAGTGTAAGTTTTCCAAGAGTGTGTCTCAGTTAATAGTCTTCATTTTGTTTGTTTGGTTTGTACTGCATAATCACTACCAACACAGGATCTTCCAACGCACCGGCCTTAAATTCATCAACAGACAAGTAACCATCATTATCCCTGTCAAACTTGTTAAAAATAATCTCCGTGCGTTCTTTGGGCGTCGCTTTCCCGGGCCAGTGCTTTCGTGGGTACATCTTAAAAACAGATTCCATAATTTCATTCATCTCGGCACGCGAGATTTGGCCATTGCCGTCGATATCGTAAATCTTGAATGCCCATTCAAGTTTTTCATCGAGGCTTCCCCTAGACGACATGGAAAGAGAGTGCATGAATTCTTTAAAGTCGATCAACCCGCTTTTGTCACAGTCGAAGCTTCGAAAAACATGCATCGCAAAGTCGCTCGCATCGCCTTCAAAGAATTCCGAGTACATATTTTGGAATTCCTTTAAACTGACGAATCCGCTGGGACAACTCTTCATGAAACCCCTGTACCAATCTTGGATTTCTTTTCGCGAAAAGTGAGTCCCTTGCATTAGATCTTGTAGGTCTTCAGGTTGAAGTTTGGATTTTTTGTTTCCCATGGTTTTGGCTGTGGAGTGAGAAGAAAAAAATGAAGAAGTTTCAGTTYCTATATCAACAAGACTGGTCAAAATGAGCCATTGTTCAGAAGCTTGTTGGGTTAAGTTTATTAATAGCGCTTTTAAAATTGTTGACATGTGAATTTTAAGACCATTTGTTTCGTTTCGTTTTCGAAAGACTTCTCATGCTGCGAGCGGGAGATTAATCTTTTATTCTGCGATGATTGTTAGAARATTGCTTGTCTTGATCCATAAGTCATAAAATCTAGTCTTTTTTTTTTTTTTTTTTAAATGTCCCAAATTGTTTCAACTCATTTAAGATTGAATGTTTCGCCTCTCCGTGCTTGAAATAAATAACAAACATTTCCTTGAAACTTGGATTTTAGTATTAATAATGAAATTAAAAAAATTATCTGGGATGAGCTTTGCAAGCGCTAGATTTGTCGTGTGTTGACCCGTCTGACAAACATCGTTGGTGGCAGAAGTGGAAGCCAAGATAAGAGTAAACACTCACCTCTTGCTACGGTCAATTCACGAGCATTAGTAGAAGATTTCAAACCAACTAAACAAAAGAAAACACGAAATTTGAAATCACAAGTCGAAAACACACATGAAAATAGCGTGAATTTTCGACGACGAGTCGAAGTGGCTGCAAAGGATCTTGATTATATGTTGTTCTAGCTTGGGGGTTTGGGATTATAATTAAAAGATCTTTCTTTGGTCAGCACTGATGTTTCTTTACTTTTACACAGAAAACTATCTTATAATACTTGTTAATAATTGATGAAGAGAAATAATTAAAGTTTCTCAGTATAATGCATCAAAGTGCTTCATCTATGATTGATGGCATGTTTCAACCAATCAGGACCCAACCTCCATTCTTCCACTGCCGTCATACCAAACTATGTTTCGTCACAATAATTCCATTATCGATTCTTCTCGTCTAAATAAATTTTCATTATTTCGAAGACAAAACACGTTTTGATAAAACCTAGATTGAACAAATCTATTGATTTTTTTTCTCTCGCGGGTGCGTACTTTTCGATTCAGCTGTACTGACAGACTGACAGGTCGGAAAAACCAAACAACTGCTTGAAACAACACCTTAAACTGACACTGGAAAAAGAAACACGAATAAATTAGTAAACTGAACTGTCCATATTCACTTCCCCTGCAGGTTTCCCTTCATTCTACTTTTTCAAAAATTCTTCATTGTGTCGGTATAGTAGAAYGTTAAAGGAACTCAGTCGAGTTTATTATTATTTAGTATTTACTCTGAGAGTTGAGAGCTGAGGTTAATTTAAAGTGTGAGTTGTCGGAACAAACGAACGCCTCCAGCAATGGCAGTAAGAATAGCCCAACACGTCCTTTAAAATAACTACTTTTCTTATGCAATGCTCAATAGAACTATATAGATATGTTACAGGAAAATATAAACACTGATGATTATCAATGCCGCTGTAAATAATAGTGGAAATGGAGAACGTTCCACGTTAAAAGCTTCCAAATTTGAACAAAGAAGATAAATTGTCATTATTCAGTCTGTGAAAAAAAAAAACGACTCCAACTTAAAACGTTTGAGGATCTTTCAGGCTATATTTAAATTGCATAATTTCTTATATCTCTTTGTTTTAAAAGCGCAGTTTTTTAATTGTATGTAGAAGATGGTTAACTTAAAATAATCTTTTAAAAACATCATAGGGCAATGAAAAACAAACAAAAATTCAATCTGATTTTTTTTAGGTATACGCAATACGTATATCGTGTATTTAAAAGAAATATATATTTATAACCACACCTAAAATCTATTAAAAAATACTTCAAATTCATCAGTACATTTTGAAACCCTTTTAGTTTAATTCGATTCGCACTTGTAAACTTCATCAGAACAAATAAGAGTGGATTTCTTGTTCTGGATCATTCCGTGACATCATACTACTCTGACTAAAGTTTGTTCAATAAGGTTAACCTGAGATTACTTTTCACACTTTTAAAAATGTCTAGTCTTAAATACTTTGCCCTTTTTCAAATGCAGACAGGAATAGAATYGTTTTAAAAGAAAGAAAATATACTTAGTACCTTTAAGAGTGAGACCACTTGCCGCACGGAGTTACGACTCTTGTATGTTGGTTTACTGAGTTTTAAATTTGTTTTCAATCTTGCCAACATGAGGTGACGATCCAGCAAGTTTTGGGGCTTGTGTTTTGCATCATCACAGTTGTTCTGAGCTGATCAACCAGTAGCAAACGGCTCAAAAAGATCTATTATTTACCATCCAATAAGCCATGCCTTCCAAAAACAGGCGGGTAACAAGCAAGGTCTAGTTATTCGCAACCATGATTAAAAGCCCAAATATGATATATACAGGTCAGCTTCGGACCAACAGCTTTTTTTGCTCTTGGCTAATTTAATTAAGGAACCTCAATTTTTTTGGTTTTCTCATAGTTTTTGGAATTTTGCTCATTAGAGACAATTTGCTTAACCTTAATTTTTTCTCCCACAGTTCCTTATTGATCTGCTGGCGGGAAGGCTTAGCCTGACCGGGAAATAATTCCTACCAGACTAGGATCAGAAGTGTCTCCTATTAATGACATCATTCTGAATTCTAGTGGCGCAGTTTTGAAGACAATACCACTACGCCTATTTTGCTACCGCAAGCTGCACAATGCATGAGGAGATTTCTCCTGAAGAACTGCAGAACTGTTTTATCTTTCGTGTCATAACGATCCTTTAATACTTGCTTTGATTAATTATTCTACTGTGAAGAATTAACTGAAGACGTAATATAATCAAATTATAAAACCGGCAGTCGTTAAATTATGAATGACTTTCTGAGGTCGCTGTGTGGTTTGCAAAAACTACTGTTCTGAATTTCTTGAAAGGATTTTCATGCAGTTGTTAATGTTTCTCTTGGAAGAAGAAATGTTTAGCCCTGAAGTGATAGCATTCAATTACAATCTAGGGTTGGCAAATTTGATTGCAACCAATCAGTTGCACAGGATTACAATTTACAATTAAATTGTGTGGTAAGTTTGGGTAACTAAGCACTCTCTCTTTACACTTTCCACAGGTCCAAGGAAACTGTTTGGGAAAATAGAGTCCACGTTGTCTGTGGTACATGAAAAAGGCGCAGCGCACTTTCTTGTGACAAAGTATGCAAATATCCCGCTGGTTTTTCAAGATTATAATGATGTCAGTGATGATGGTGTCAAAATAATGTCAGTGATGATGCCGATGATGGGTGTCAAGTTGATGCCAGTGATGATGATAATGGGCTTCAAGATGATGATGCTAGTTAGTGATGATGATGGGTGTCAAGATGATGATGCCAGTGAGTGATGATGATGGGTGTCAAGATGATGATGCCAGTGAGTGATGATGATGGGTGTCAAGATGGTGATGCCAGTGAGTGATGATGATGGGTGTCAAGATGATGATGCCAGTGAGTGATGATAATGACTTTCAAGATGATGATACCAGTGAGTGATGATAATGCCAGTGAACAATGATAATGGGTGTCAACTATGATGCCAGTGAGTAATGATGATGAGTGTCACGATTTTGATGTCAGTGATGATGATGGGTGTCAAGAGCTCTTTTGACTAGTTACCTTAAATCAAATTATTCAACTACTAAAACTATTTCTACATGACATACATAACATATGTTTTTCCTTTCTCGAATAAGAAATAATTTGATGCTGTAGTATATGTAAAATGTTTTACTGAAGAAGAAAGGATTTTACTAGTACATGTTTTTGTTTTTTATGTCTTTTTAAAGTTTTTGGTCTTGAAACCAGAGCAGTGTATTGATTCAGCTTCTGAATTCTTCTCACAGCATAACATAAAAAAATCAATCACATTCTTACACCTGTTTTCTTGGTAATTGTTTTCTGTCAAAGAAAAAGAAAGGTTTGGTTAACTTGCATGGTTGTGTTCAACATATTAACTTATTCTCTAAGCCAAAAGGGTTACATCTTTTCAAGGCACAACTGGCTAAAATTGGGTCTTCAATAAAAATTTTTATTTTTCCTATTTCAAGGCAAAAAAAAGTATTAATTACTGTTACTGGCAATACTGCACACTACCCGTGATTCTCATATCTGTACCCTTCTCCCCATTTATACCCTCAACATCTGAATTCCCTTTTTCCCCTCATCGATTGATTACTTGTGTGAAGTCTTGAACTGGGCAACCTACATTTTACGATGTTCTTCAGGGAAAAAAACCTTTAACAGAAGGAAGGACCTGGACAACCTTGGTTCCCCATCTCCCTAGATCCTTCTCATTTTAATTAAGGTCTCGTACAAGTGTATGTATGTAAAAAGCAAAACGTAGGTTGACAATCAAGATTGTCATCAAAGTGACCTCGATAACAAACAAACAAAAAAAAAAACAAAACAAGACGTGTAGCATAACACGTTCCTTCGTAGGCTCGTGTAAAATTAAGCTATACGTCTGACGAAAATTTAATAGTAATTTCTATACTTTTATCATTAAAAAAGCACTTACATTAGCATTAGTAAGCTCATATATATAAAGAAAATGAAAGGTTGAGAGCTTTTACCTCGTAAACATTTTTGTATTGCACAGGCTTCCTTGCCACAGATTTCTTGCTTCTTCTTCTTTGGCATGGAAATAATTATTACTTAAAAGAGAGAGCAATTACAAAACTTTTCATAGCCTTTTTCTTTGATAAATTTGCTTTTTTCAACGTTTTTCTAATGTCATTACGAACTGTGTCCATTCAGCCGCCATCTTGGATTTCAAGCGCGAGAGGTTTTATGGGATAGATTTGCCAAGCTCGCGCGCATTAAAGAAGAGTGCGCGCAAATATTATAACGTCACAATTAAAAACTTAGTTACATACTTACGTACGTAATTACTTGAGCGCATTTTAGTTCAGGTCGTTGACAAGGACACACTGTAAAAATTTTGAGAATTCTTAAAGACAATAGCAATGAAAGACGACGATAAAGTCGATCCTATGGAAGCCCAACTCGAGGCGCAACAAGAGCTTGCAAGCCTGCATCGACAATACCGCTGCATGCGGAATGCTAAAAAAGCCTACGCTACGGAAACTGAGAACGTCATACGACGACAGAAGGCGGTGATAGAGGCGTTGGTCGAAGAAAAAACAGAGCTGATGACGCTTAAAAACGTAGCAGGGAGAGTTGTCACCCAAGTGGAAGACGAGAAAAGCTTGGATGATATAAACGACCTGTTGGAAAAGGAAGATGGCATCCAAAGAGAAATGGAGTCCGAACGAAAAAAGGTAGATGAAATCGATGGGAGCATACATTCTTTGGAAACAAAAATTGCAAAACAGAGGCAGACCATGAAAGGAGTAACGAATGTCACCAAAAATGTCGCTGTTCAGAAACATATCCGTGTCTTGAAGAACCGCCTGGATAACTTGAGTAAGAAATTCAACGTTGCGATGGCCGGTAATCAAAAACTGAGGATGAACATCGACAACGTGAATGGCCAGAAAGCTCGATTCAAGAAGATGTTTAGACGCCTGGAAAACAGCCTGGCAGAAATAAAATGCGAAATCGAGAAAACCTCAGAAACCGCAACATCTCATTTYAATGCAAGAGATGAAGCACAACATCGCATGGCTTCTCTACGTGAACGCGGTGAACGAGACCTCACGATGTATAACAATGAAATTAAGGATGTTATGAGAGCCATTGAACACGATCGTAAGCTGCGCAAGTTTATGATGACCAAGGCTGAAGACAGAGCAAGTATTCTTGAAGAGGAAACGCTGGCTAGAGAGTTGAGGAAGCTTAACATGCATTTGGGAGGCCTGAAGCTCGAGGCGAAAAAGTATGAAGAAATCTTTGAGAAGATCAAGGAAGCCACTGGAATTCATGATACTGATACATTGGTATCATCTTTCATTGAGAATGAAGACACTAACTTTGCGTTGTTTAATTACGTAAATGCGATGAACACCGAGATAGAAGAACTGCAGGATCAAATCAAGTTCTTGAAGGAGGAAACAGAACAAACCAAGAACGAAGGCGTGGCTAATGATGTCCGAAGAAAAGAAATACTGCAGGAGCTTGAAGCGCAACTTGCAGCAGTGACTGCGCAATCCAGTGCTTTAACAAAAGAAATCAAGACCAGCAGAAAAATAATAGAAACTGCCAAGCCAAAGATTGAAAGAATCTTCGTTGGAATGAAATGCGATCGATCGGCCATCACTGATCTACTTGGTGGAGGAACGACCATAGATGACTACAATGTTATGCAATATCTTGGCATTGTAGAACAGAAATGCAATGAACTACTTCAGATTAAAGCACTTCTGAAAGCTAAATCAGCACTTGAGGACCTCCAGAAAGAAGGAAGCGTGGTGGAAGGGCTGCAAGGTGCTGGGCCACAACCAGTTCAAGCCAAGCTGTCAATCAACCCACCATCTATCGAAGAAGAGAGTGACCTGATGTTACAAACCTCAGATACTAAACCGCTGACTATGGATGACGTGCAGGCGCTTCTTGTGCAGCTGACAACGCGGGGTGGTACGTCTAAAGGCGCAGGGGCTGGTGTGGCTTCAAAGCAAGGAAGAAAAAAAAGACTTTGATCAAAACAACTAACTAAAGATTATCATACAATCCTTTTAAAAAAATACTGTTATTCTAAATGTGAATTGTCAACGCCAATTTTGTGAATTTTTATCAAGTCAAAAATGCAGACACTTGTCGCCTAATGTGTAAAGTTAAATTAAAAATGTCTATAGAAATGACAGCGTGCATGGATTTAAAAACAAAGTTTCAGGAATTCATTTGAACTGAAAATAATCACTCTTAACAATTCACGAATCTCCGGTTTTTAGGAGACGAAGAATTGGAAAGTGTGGGGGGTCGACGCGCATTAACAATCTATCTGGTTGACGACGCGCGCACATTAAAGTAGAAAATAGGCCATTCTTTTGCTTTTTTGTCGGTATTTAGAGAAATTTAAGAAATCAGATTTTTYCCCTCTTGTGCGGAAATAACCCGACCAAAAATAGAGTTGTTTTTCATTCATTTATGCGCCATTAAACAAATTGGAATAACAACGTAGAATAAAAACACGGCTTATCAGCCACTGTTTGGCTTTTTGAGTCAACATCTATAAGCATGGCAGAATAAGAAAATATCAATGGAACTAACATTGCAATTTTTTATCAAAAGGTTTTTTAAATATTTGAAAAAATTCGATCATAGATTGCTTTTTTTTCTTGCTCCGTGACTAATAATTTATATCGATATGAAAATGAATCAATCAATCTGTGACAACCGTATTAAAACAAAGCGAATATCAGTTAGAAATGGCTTATCAACGAACAGCCACTCGGGTTGCTGCTAGGAGATAAGACTGACAAGCCTCTTGTCTGATGTTGACCGCATCACGGCTACTAGATCATAATGAGAACTTGGAACTATCTTGGGTTTTTGAAACGGCTTTTTTGCCGTAATTGGAGGATTGACGCCGTGATATTTTTGTAACTTGAAAAAAAAAATGGGCGATTTGACGAGCGTGAAAGATCGTAAATCTGATCCAGCCGGCGGCAAGTGTTACAAAAAAGGGGGCTCAAGTTAATCGAGCGGATCCAATCGAGCTTGTCTCCAAATTATCTTTCTTTCCACATTCTTGTAAAGGAAAGTATATAGGCCATCAGTAATTAACACAAAAAGTCTGTTAGAACCAATAGTAATTGACATGCAAAACAGCATGGTTGCACTATGGTACGAGGCACTTTGATCTTCGGCCGCCGCAGATATGTCAAAGCCAATTTTAAAATATATATGTGACAAAAAAATGAATAACAAGAAAACGAAAACCGCCATGTGGAAGCTGACAAACAAAAGATAAATAAACCCAAAGATGACAAACGATAATTCATTGAACCGAAAACTTTTTGTTTTTACTGGAAATTTTGTTGTTATTGGTTTGTTTGCGCAGAAGTAGTTTTTTCATGAGGTTGTCAAAAGTTAATATCAATTTATGTCTTTGCTTTTAATTTTTTAACTTAAATTCGAATGAATAAGAAATTCATTGAAGCGTCAACTCTGGCTTCATTCGTTGAGAGGTCACTCTCTCCATAACAAAACCAAACCATCGAGACAACAATGAATATCTCAAAAGCTGAGAATTACGATGGGAATTTGAATGAATAACATTGGTATCTTAACGTATTTTCTCCTAATTCATGCGTTTAAATGCGCACATGTAAAAGGAATGGACCTTTCTCTCGGTGCGTATAAAACATCTGTCAACTCCCCAAGCATTGTGGCCGGGATGCGAAGACTGTACTGTAAATAAGCGCGCACGGCTTATTTTTGCGCTAAATTCTTCCATATTGTTTGGTATTGTTCATCATGAAAACAAACATAACAAACGAGACACAATTAATACTAATAAACGTAGTATTTCTTCAACCCGCATAAATGACAAGTCCCTCTAACCCCCATGGGTCTGTGAATTAATAACCATTAGACAAAGGTCTTATAATGCTAAATAGTCTAAATTATGGTAATGTTATGCATGCGCCTAGAACTCCCTCGCGCAWGGGTCATCAAACAAGTCTAGAACCATTCTCGACGACGCTTTGTCAAATATTTAGCCTGATTGAGAAGTTTGTTTGGCCAAAGTTGACTTATTTCAGTCCCACCTCGGCCTTCAATTCTTATTCTCTTGACGGAGTTGGTTCTAAGCAAGTTCTCGGTGGAAAAAGGGCTCGCAAACCATGGCCAAGTTAACAGCCTTGGTATTCATAGTTCTAGCAACCGTTGCTCTTCAATCAGGTAAAGCTCTTTGCATACAGCGTCCCCAAATTCGCAGTATTTTCAATCCCAAACAATTGGGGATATTTTAGGAGCACAGGCCTTCACTTTAGAGGTATAAATAAGTCACAGGTTCTCGATATTTCCAATGGCGTCTTTAGTAAATGAAGTGACGGGTGTTGTTTTGCAAGATCCTGGGAGAAGAGGGAATGAAGCAGCATTTTTCTAAGGTTAAACCGATCAAAGTTAATCACCACACCTTCTAACTCGAATATTGTCCGTTCCGTAATCCTTTTGCTCGAAATCTCGATGTCTTCGGATAATATAGTTTATGTTCAAAAAATTTTTGTGTTCGGTTCTCTCAGCTTGATGCCTGGGTTTTACTTTTTAGCGCCTTAGAAAAGCTGTCTAACATTTCTAAATTTTCACACTTTGGACTCTTTGGTCAGGTCGACGAGACGAAAAACACGCGATCGGCTCAAAAAGACTGTAATATCATTCGCAAGCTAAAACACTTTTCAAGTGATCAACTCGAAAATAAAAATCCCCTTGCAGGAACATTTCGAAGGGCGAAGCATATCTCGCTGAGCATCCTCTGCATGGAGTTGAATTTTCGGGTCAACTTTTCCTTTTGTTTTGAACGTCGCTTGGGCGCCAAAATTCAGTGTTCAAACGACTTATTCAAATAAATCTCATAGTAGGTTTGCAAATGTATTTAAATAGAGTGTTCTCTATTTTGTTTGCTCTTGCAAAGGTATAATCTTTGAGACAGAAAAGCTGCTTCCTTTCCTCGGTTAAGAGTATTTTCTGAACTGAAATTATTTACGGAAACTGCACTAGGTTCGTCACACAAGTGAAGGATTTTAAGCGAAAAAAAAATGAAAAAAGCTATAGATTTCCAAAACAATTTTATAACTAAGCTTAGGCTTATACATATTGACAGTAACTGGAGCGCTTTTAATGCAAGACTTATCAATTTTCAATGCATTTTCATTTTCGTAATACGAGCGAAAATAATCTCTTGAAATTTGAATAGAATTCCATGTGTTTTTATTCCCTAGAGACCCCTTTAACAATAAAATCGTTACGGTGAATTATCAAGAACACGAGCTTTTTTGTTAGAAGTTTAGCTTGGATTTAAAATAATACAATAATTCTGACGTATCTTTACGATAATATCAGTTTTTATAAAGTAAACACTTATCTGTTTATAGAAATTTTAAGTAAAAAATGATCAGAGGTTTAAAAAATGGTTGCTCTATCAAAATTTGATGTCCCTAAAATGTGCTGTTCAGATCATGACAAACTATTTTCACCAGAGAGCTCCTCCCTGTTGTCGTCTAAGATCTTGCAGATTCTAATTCAGAATCATATAGATTTTTATTTAAATTTTTTTTCCTGTATCTACAAAGTTAATATAAAATATAGGTTATTACACTGAAAAGTTACATAAATGGCCTTATGCCTAATAGTGAATATTGTAGATTTGTAGATATGTAAATTTGTCATCAATGCAGAATAATTTTCAGCTGCTGGTGAAGTTGAGGTCTCCAACAAATTTGAAAAACATAAACAAATTTATATTTTCTCAGTAACAGTAACTTTATATTAAATAATAATATTGATAATGGTATTCTTCGATTGCATGTTACCTCATCGCGGCCTCTCGGGAGAGCGTTGGTGCCATTTAACAAAATATTTCTCATTAGTGTCCATTGTTAACGGTACCACAATTCATAGCCGCCATGCTTTTGTCTTTTAACTTTCTTTGAAATGCTTGCAACCCATCAATTGGCATTGACAAAAAATTTATAAATTTGGAAATCCCCAAAAAATTACTTGTTTTGACTAAAATGAAATATGAATTGAGGTGTATGTTTTTTTGCTTTATGACAGTATCAAAGGTTATACCATCTCATTATTGACATAGTATTCTTTGTCTGACTTCAATAATTCCATTTTAATCAACATGACCCACCCTCTGTAATTTTACGCTTTGCAATATTAATGATATTCTAGAAGTTGATTGCACTAATAACTATAAGTGATATTGTGGTTTTAATACATTTTAGTACTGTGGCTTAGGATGGCCATTCATATATGGATACACTGCTCATAATGTTTGCATGAAGTGAACCATCAAATGTTATGCCTTTATGAATTGCTATATGAAAAAGTGTCCTTGTAAATGTACCACCAACTGTTCTACGAACAAAAGATAAAAAAACAATTTTTTAATTTTTCAGGTGGTGAAGTCGTAGTTCCTTTTAATTCTGAACTATATGTTCCTTCCGCTGATCTTAATGCATTTTGCACTGTACAAAATGAAACATTTGTTGGATGGTTTAAAGTCGATGGAGATAAGAGGACAAAAATAGATGTTGTTGCATCAAGAGCTGATGTCAAAGCCAACCCTGGTGTTCTCATAGAGACCCGGAGTCCAAATGAGAAGACCTGCACCCTGATATTTCCTAAAGGATCGCCAGTTACTATAGGAGGAACATATGAATGTACAGGAAGTAAGAGTAAAGCAAGTCTTGTCGTCCAAGTAAGACGTAAGTAACTTATAATCCTTTTATCCCTATGTACATATTTCAGAGCATTTCACATATTTTTTCCATGAGTGGGTTCCGAAATTGGTTTGGAAGTTCAGTAGTTGAAGTCGTACTTTAGAAGTTCCCAACAAAGTTTGTTGAGGAACTTCAAACCTACTTCCCCCACTTATTAGTGAYGAGTTGTTTCACAAAGCAAGAGTGCTTTGCCTACTAATCATCAAATGATGCCTTCAAAGAGAAAACCCCCATGTTATCAAATAACTGAATTTGAGCTGGAAGTAAGTTTGAAGTTTGCCAACAAAGTTCGTTTTAAACTTCCAAAGTATGTCTTGAACTTCAGAACTTCTAAAAAAACTTCAACACCCACTCATCAAAAGTTAGGTAAAACACACTGTAAATTATCAATCAAAAAATGTGTCAAAACCGCCACCCAGTTAGCTCATTTGGTAAGAGCATCGGTCTGTTGTGCAGAAGGTCACAGTTCAAACCTTGGATGGACCAACTCTCAGGGTCTTAAGATAACTGATGAGAACCCCCCCCCACTGCACCAGTGTTCTTACTAGGCCGCGCACAAATTTWAACTCTATGCGCCCCCAAGAGTGCATGAATTATCCAAAGAATAATTCCTGATAATTTTAAAAGATTTAGAGTACTTTTTCAATAATAAAAGTCGCATTATATTGTCAATAAACAAGGTGAAAGTCCACATGAAACAACACGAATCGAACATAGCCGCCATCTCATATTTAACTCGCCAAGATGTCTGGGACTAGTCTATGTTAACTGACCTTGTTTATTGGAGGCTCAAGTATGGCTGCCCAGCCAAAGTTATTGTATCATCATTACTAAAAAAAAACGGTCTTACATTGTTTTAGATTTGCAACAGAGTTACTGGCAAAAAACATTATTATTCTTTGTTTTAAGATTTTGGAAATGACCCATCCAGTTTTCTAAATGACCCCTAAATTTAGGATGGGCCCTTTGACCTGCTGAAAGAAATTTCTGGTCAGAACACTGCTGCACCAGCTCTATCATATTCACCAATATTTCCAAGATGGCATATAATTTTTCCCCTAAAAAAGTCCATTTTTTGAATCAATCTCGAAATGGCTAATATCATGTGAATTCTAATTCTAATAGTTTTATATTTTGTGCCAATTTAGCCAACTTGGGTTCACTTAAAAAATACCAATACCTTCATATTGGTAAGAATGAAAAAATAGTCCTGGGAGCTATTACCTATCCATATTCCACGTTCGTCTGGAAGAAAAATCTGGTTGTCATTGACTTTGCAAGCGATCCTCGCTTGACTTTAGAGAAAGATGGTTCAGTTGTAATTACTAACGTCAAAGAGTCAGATGCTGGCAGATATGATGTGCATATTGACTGGGAAGGAAGAAATACTGCAGATGAAATAATTAATGTTACTGTGATAGGTATGTATTTAATACTGGACTCTTTGACACTTTTTTTGGGAGTGGTCCTTGGTCTYAATAATGATAATTATAAATAATAATAGGATTAACAGTGGATTCCACAGAGTGGCTCTTCTTCCACTGGATTCCAATAGAACTTATTTGTGGTGTGACAATGTTTTCCCAATGCAGCATGACAAACCTCCAGAGGGTTCATTTTCTTTTGTTTTTACTCCTAGAAAAATTCATGAGTATCTCAAAGCATACGAAAGGAATAACAATGATATCCCAAGGAGTTGCAAAACAACAGTGCTTAACTGCAGCAGGCTCCGACTTATTCTGAATTCTGAAAGTCCTGCATATTCAATTTCGCAAATGCATAGTCATATAACAATCTCCTTACCTTCTTCTATCCTCCCCTCCCCTCCCCCCTTCCCGCACACACACACACACAATACCAAATAAGATGCCTATTCTATTCTCTTATCTTTAAGTTTTGTTTTTCTAGAAAAGCCTAAATTCCTCTCTACACCTACCCCAAGTACGCTGAAGGGTATAACAGGTTATGACTACAAGTTCTGTTGTAATCATACTGGTATGCCCAAGCCAACACTCAAGTGGTACAAAACCCAAGGAAGTAATGAGGTTCAACTAGACGTGACCAATCCTCGATACAGTGTTGATGCAAATTGCATGAGTATTAAGACACTGGGGCAGAGTGATGCTGCCCAGTACAAATGTACATCAACAAATTCTGCTGGTCAAGCCTCGGCAACTGTAACAATAGAGAAAGTTGGAGGTAAGATTGCAAATTTTTACTCCACCCTTTAAATTTATTATATAGTTAGGATTGTATGCTCATAGGTAAAAAACTGTGCTTTATTAGTGAACGGAGCACAGTGCTGATGCCATCCGCGTGTGCAAAATGCTGCTAGATCCTGTGACAGTCTTCCTCTTTGAGTAAATAAATCCAATGCTTAAATAAAATTAGTAACTATGTAATAAAACGAATAAAACAGCTTTTTCCATGCTCTGTTCAGTAATACAGCTCAGGCTTCTGTATGCTTTATTACTGAACAGACCACAGAAAAAGCTGTTTTATTTGCTAAATATAGTTGGGTGAGGAAAATAACACTTGAGAATCCTGGGGAATTGGGGAATTTTTAGCAAAAAAGTTAAGGAATTTGGTGGTGTGATCCTTATGGCCAGCATGATAGAACATGCATTTCTCATAAAATAATAGACTAAAGAAAATTTTTTTAAGGGAATGGGACCTGCAAGAAGTTTGTAAATAAGGTATGGAATCATCTCATTTGCATTCAACTTGGGTATTTTCATTCACTCCATTACTACCATTAATGTTGAAGTGTGACCTGCAAAGTTTGATATCTCATTTGCCGCCTAGCATTTCAATGACCGTCAATCAAAGAACAGCAATAAAAAGCAATGTCTTGAAAGAGATTTTCGAGAGCCAGCCCATACTGCTCAGAACAAGTTACATGATTGGATTAAAAAACAATAGATTGGTCATCCAAACAATAGCACTAAACCTAACCTTACAAAAGCGGTACTGTACTTAGGGAGCAATGAAAATCCAGCTTTCGAGCGGTACTGGATTACTCATTTTTGATCTTCATCCTCTAAAATTTGTTTGCAGTTTTTTGATTGACAGTTATTGAAATGTTAGTCGGTGGACGAGGCAAAAACTTTGAGGATCGCACTTCAAAGATAATGTTAGTAAATGTATTAGGAATAGACAAAAAATCAGACTCAAGGTATTGGCACCGGCAATAAGCTTCTAAATTAGATACAGAATCAAATTTATTTGCATTCAACTTTAACTTCAATCATAAAACTCTTAGTAGAACTTGAAATTATACAATATTCATAATAATAATAATAAACATATAATAATATGGGCTTTATGACCATTTGAATCTGGCTTACCAATACGATGTTTGCATGATGGCCTCATTTGACTCTCATTACCATAATGCTTCGTGAATTTTCTTTCTTATTGAAATTTGTATTCCCTCATGAGAATAGTAAGACCATGGGTGCTAATTACTGAACAAAAGAAAGTGTGCAAGGGAGTCTGGTAGTAGAGATCAATGACGCCATCATGCAAACATGTTATTGTACATGTAAATACACATATAGATCAGCCTCTCATTTTATATATTACATACAGATCGAGTGCATATAATTATAGTATATGTTATATAATATTTTGAAAATTATCCTTGATATTGATTTTTATCCCACCAGTGAAACTATCTTTGGATACACTTGCTGAAGACTCAATGCTCAAAAGTGTGAATAAACCACTTGAGATCGAAGACACAAAATTATCCTTGATATTAATTTTTATCCCACCAGTGAAACCATCTGTGGATACACTTGCTGAAGACTCAATGCTCAAAAGTGTGAATAAACCACTTGAGGTCGAATGCACTGGTAAAGGAGATCCATTACCCACAATGGAGTGGACCAATGGTGGAAAAGTATTAGCTAATCAAAAAGTAAGATGACTGTTAAGAGGCAGTGTCTGCAAAAATTAAATATTAGGYGTGGTTAAGTTGAAAAAAATTGATTTTGTTCATATTTGGTCCAAAGATGTGGAATACCACCCAAATAAATGTACTGATGTTCATTTTGCATGATTTCACTTTTATCTTGAGAAAATCTTGAAAATCAATTTTGGCTGTCGGCGCCCTGAGAAAGGCGTTTGCATATAAAAATGAAGCAAGCTAAAGAAGATCTGTTTTTGGAATATGGTAAAGGAAAGATTATTATCTTAAACCCAAATATGAACAAAATCAATTTTTTTATAAAGATGAGAATATGTGGACCGCGTAGCACTTATGAAATACATGAAGATATAGAAATATAGATAAGTTATAGTGCTTGGGAATGAGGTTATTCCGGGCGAAAGCCCTTGGAATTAAATTCGGAAAAATTAATTTCCGACCTTGCTGGGAAACGAACCCACGACCTTCCCAGCAAGGTCGGAAATTAATTTTTCCGAATTTAATTCCAAGGGCTTTTGCCCGGAATAACCTCRTTCCCAAGCACTATAACTTATCTCTATTTCTATATCTTCAATTTTTTTTATAGTGGCCATGGATTTCCAATCATGTTTGATTTTTACAGACATTGATTTTTACAAGTGCATTGATAACCAATCAGATTCAGATATATCCTAAGTCAAGTTCTGAAGATAAATGCTGCTTAATAATTTTCCCTCAAGGACTGACCAACATTTGAGCACTAGTAGTGTGAACAGTCATGATGACTGGCCTAAAAGGCTATTTACTGCATTCTGGGAAATTTTCAAACCCCCACCCCCCCCCCCCACCATCCTTTCCAAAAAGTTAAAAAATGAATCACAACCCAAAAGGGTGGTGTGGCTCAAGCAAATCCCTAAATCTGCCCATGATTCATATGCATGATTCTACCAATAAGTTCTTCTCACTAAAAAGCCCTTTTATTCATTACATGAGTAGCAAGAGCCAGGTAAGAGTACCATGATGTTCAAAAGTTTGAGGCTTAAAGATACTGCAAACTACACCTGCACAGCCAGGAACGGCCTGTTTTATGATGGTAAAGAAGTCCATGCTTCGAGAAATTTCCAACTTAATGTGATAGGTAAGAAAACTACTACCTAAATTACTACTATTTGCGATCTACCGTGAAGCGTGACGCGCCAAACTTGTTTTCATAAGTTATATCCCAGACATTTGGCACAAATAACTGTCAAGTTTACCACCAACAAACTTTTAGTTTTTTTCCCAGTTATGAAAACTGTCATCTCTAATCATTACTGCAAAGTATAGCAGTGGCACAGCTCAACAGGGTCATACTGAACGCATGTAAAGGCACCTCTGGCATCTGCTATACAGTCCATGTATGACCCTAGACCATAGCTCTAACCAGTATGAATAATATTAGTTTGGCTTGATTTGAGAGGAGGGAGGAAAAAGGGGAAGGCCAGAAAAAACCTCAGACTTGGAAAGAAAACCAACCAACTCAGCCCACATGCGATTCCAACCCCCAGACCTCAGAGGTGAGAGGCGTTTTACCACCAAGCCATCCCTCCCCTATTTATAAGCTCCCACTTGTTTTCAGCCCCCCAAACCCGTCCCCCTGACGCCGTCCTTCTCTGAGATATATTGTTTCAGTATTCAATAACCGCTGGTTAAAATTCTCCCTCAATTCATCAAAAGAAATAACATTTCTTTCAGCTAAACCACTCCTTAATAAGAACAGAACTCCAAGTCCAGTGTACTCTTTCCTTTACAACAAAAACAGTGTTCTTGTCCAGTGTGTCTTTGAAGGCTTTCCTGATCCAGCTGTTGAAATAACTAAGAATGGTGTGTCGCTAGCTAACGGAACAATAGTAGCTTCATTGTACGTAACAACAACTAATTTAAAAGATTTTGGAGACTATGTTTGCGATGCAAAAAATAATCATGGCTCAGCTTCCCATACAGTGAAACTTAAAGAAGCAGGTAATGACAATATCACCATCTTAACTTCATCATCACTATCATTTTTCTATTATTTTAAAGCACAGCGTCCTTGTAAAGTAGGTTTTATTTTGCCTTGAGTAATACATTTTATTTTCATAACTGTAAATATATATATATATATAGTTTAGTTCAGTGTAGTGAGTGTAGAGTAGTTTAGTCTAGTAAGCTTAGTTTATTCTTTGATATAATTTTAATTAATTAGTGATATAATGTAATTTCTCTTGAAGCGTGAATAAATATAGTTATCTATCTATCTATCATCATAACCACAAGGCTCAAAATAACGGCCAGACATCGGCCAGAATAGTCCCCTTCACGGTTCCCTGCGCCATGCAAGGGGATGGCATGCAAGATGGCGCCATCTTGAAAGGTAGCTGGGCCTTTGCTTTAAGCGACACCAACGTTCCGCTTGCAATGATAGAGACCTTTTTAAACACCTTGGACAATGATTCACAGGTCTCTATCATTGCAAGCTCACCATTCGTCTCACTTTGATGTAAAGGCCTGACTACCTTTCAAGATGGTGCAGGGAACCGTGAAGGAGACTATTGGAATTGTCCTGTCAAAGCTTTGCCTTGCTGGTCATTTTGACCAGAAATGCTAAGCTAGAAGTGAGGTATGACCAAGCTAAAACTAATTTGGCTGTTCATCATGACCAGCAACTTGTCGTCCATTATTTTAATCCTTGTAAACATGTTCAGTATCATCCTGATTACCATCATCAATATTTCATGGAGTTATCACCACCATCATTTTCATCACCATCATTTTCAACATCATCATTATAAACATTTTTACTACCATCGTTATTATTATCATCATTGTCAGCTCTCAACATTTTCATTGCCTCTATAAACTATTATTATTATCATCATCATTATTATTATAACTATCATCATTATGGTTACCATCATCAGCATCACCATAAACACAGCCATCATCGCTATCATTAAGTGAATATCCTGTTTCTCCGGTATTGATACAATTACTCTGCATTTTTTAGTTGTTCCTGGTAAACCAATCAATGTGAAAGTCAAAAAAACCTGCAAGTCAGCTCTGATCTCATGGGAACCACCTGTTGATAATGGTGGAATGCAAGTCTTGAATTACGTCATCACAGTCCATAACAGCACCACCAAATTCCCCTCAAAAAATGTGATTTGGAAAAACCTTATGCACAAGATTGAATACGTCTTCAAGCCAGAAACCACCTATAAAGTTGAATTAAGTGCAAGAAATATTGTTGGTGCTGGCGCACCAGAAGTCTTCACCTTTACCACCAACAAGTATTGTAAGTTCCATCTGAGGTGTTGGAGTGCAACTACTGTAACTGGGGCCACTTAAACCAGTTAGACAAGAGAACCAATTAAAATGTAAAATAAAAACAATGCATTCCTCCAACTTTGGGGTAGTGGAGCCAATCAGAAACCTAGACTGCACGAGAATTGTAATTTGACCCTGGTGTTACACGTAAACAACTAGATAGCCATTGTCATTTTCTTTTGGAAAAAAAAGATGTTGAAAGGCTATTGTTTTTCGCTGTTTTCGGATTAGATCCAATACCCAAAGTCGAAATGTATTGTTTTCATTATACAATTTGATTTGTTCTCACTGTCTAAGTGGCCCCTATTATAGTAGTCGCACTGTATAAAGACTATTGATATTATCATCATCAGAATATCTGATAAATTGAAGTTAATTATCGCTCAGGGTGGTTAAGTTCAAAAAATAATTTCTGGTTGTTCACAGGCAAACCAGGCCCACCTCTAATCAGCACCATTGGTGGTAAAAGAACCAAAGCTGACTTGACAGTATTTGGTCCAGATATCAAAGTGACATGGAAAGCACCACAGGACAATGGCTTTGACGAGAACCTTGGCTATCATGTAGAATGGAGAGTCAGAAAGGAGTTCAACCAGACGGAGTGGGAAAAGTCTGAGTTACTCCAGAAGCTAGAGTATGATATTAAGGGCTTGAAGAAGGGCAAATATGAAATAAGAGTGTACGGTGTTAGCAAAGCTGGAAATGGCAAGTCTGATATGAGAGTCGTGAATGTTGATGATCACAAAGGTATGTTTTTAATGTCGTTTAATTGGTACAGAAAGGTTATGTTGTAAGGTTACCGTTTGTTTTGTGCTGCTATACATTTCAGACCATGGGTTATTCATTCCCACACGGTAATGGATATCTGTTCATCTTTGCAAGCATTACTGATAAAGAAAGAAATAACACTTAAGAGATGGCACATGGTTTGAAATGGAAATCAATACAACAATTTCTTTTTGTCTACTTAATGCTGCATAGTCAATTAATTTGGCATTATCCAGTAAGACATTCTTTTTCTAAAGTACAATCTGTGATCATGTTATTTTCTTGTGTTATATTATGCATTCTCTACAAACACATTCTTTGGTCAAATGTCTCCATTTTAGATGTTTTCTAAGTTTGACAAACAAGATTAAGCTTGGGTACAGCAACACAATAATGTACCAAAACTAGATCACAAGGCATTATGTTTGCACCCTTGGAAAATGTCTGTGGTATTGCCTGCACTTATTATGTTTCATGATGTGTTTCTTCTATGTCTTTTCTGTGACTCTCTGGGCCCGGTTGTACGAAGGGCACATAGTGCTTTCCAAAGGATAAATCTTTATCCAGTGGACAAGTCAACACTGTTATCCAATAAATGTATTCACTAGATAAGATTTATACGTTGGATAGTGCTATCCAGGCTTCATACAACTGGGTACAACTRTTGTATTGAATACATGTCCTTCTTGTTTTGTGTTGCTTAACTTTCCTATTTTCCTCCTTATGAGTGTAATAATAATTTAATAAAAGCTTAATAACAAACACTCATGCTATTATTAAGAACTAATGTATTATTTATTATCAATTATATAATAATAAGATAATGAGATAAATATGATATAGATAAAAATAAGATGAAGTAATTTTATATTTATAGTGATAAGATAAAAAGGGAATATAATCATAACGATAATATATATGTATATATAATTTTAATAATATATAACTGCTTTGCGACAGCAATCTTGAGATAACAAAGTGTCAAAATATTACATGATACTAAATAATACTAACAATAAGCTGTTTATGTTGCCATTATTCATAACCAATAAGCCAGTATTTAATGCTGTTGCCCTGTTGATATTCAACTTATTGGCAATTCTTCTATGTGTTGAATGTTATTTGCGGAAGTTTGTAGACAGTTTTTTAAGAGTACAAGTGACTAATGTGTGTTAGACACTTCTTGTTATCTTACATGGAAAAACAGCAAACGCACACACTATAATCTCCACAGCGTCATCCAGCAGTGAGTGTGCGGTGCTTGTCATAATATTGTTTAATACTATGCACACTAGCTTACTGTAATAGGTATCAGTAGGTCTTGCTGGGGGGCATCATCCAGCAGTAAGTGTGCGATGCTTGTCATAATATTGTCTAATACTAT